AAACGCTATTGATTTTTAAATTGTGTAATTTACAGAAAAGTCCTATCTTTATAGAAAGTAATGAAACAAACAGAATGATCTTTTTAAGTTTGGTTATCTAAATTTATCATCAATACGCCATACATATACCTTTAACTTATGTTGTAATTCTATCATAAAACCAAGGCACAAGAAAGGCTAAGACCCATCTTTCGCACTGTTTTGGGTGTCTCTCGGAGCAATACAATGCAACTAATTAAAAACCTGTATCTATTCCCGTTCCAAAATTGGCTTTCGTTTTGAGTAATGGGATCACAGAGGTAATAGGATACACCAAGGTAACGGCAAGGTCATATTTTAAATTTGCCAATTTTCGAATTTTCTCAATTTATTCAAATCTCATCAACTCTAAGGCACTTTTTGTTTCAGAAAATACAGAATACAAGCTTACCAAACTGACATACCTCATGCACTAGTATCAGCGCGCTAGATTATTGCTTCCAAACTTTTTAATTACAAGAAAACTTTACAGGTCCTGGATATCGAATATCTGAAACATAATCCTCCATCGTGTTCATGTTCTTCTTTGCCCTATAACTATAGTCCTGCTGGACACGTTATTACTGGTGACGTAAATATAATTAATAATGAGGACCTTAGATCACTAATTTTAAAAGGTCCTAAATTTAGGGAACCCAGATCCTTCAACTGGCGTAAGAATTTCATAAATATCATGGATTCTGTAGAGGACTACGCCAGGCGATGGGCCAGACATGAAAAAGAAGACCTTGACACTTTGTCAGAATGGATTAAATGTATCAGATGTATGTTAAAATCGCGCATTAAAAAATTGAGAGGCAATATGAAAACCATCTATCCTTCTGTATTCAATAATCCAGAAGTGAAAAAAGAATTAGATAGATTACATGCATGATCAGTACGTACTGGTCCCTGCTGACAAAGCAGGTAACAACATTGTCTTTGTTTGTAAGGCTCATTATATTAAATGTATTTTAGAGGAACTTGGATTTAATTCTACAACTGGTAATCCAACTTATACTCATAGTTCCCTTTCTAAGGAAGAAATTCTTCAAAATCATACATGTATGTCAGTTTTGAATATTTTTAATATTCCAAACAACCAAAATGAATTCGAATTTATTTTCCATATTTATATTGGATTCCGAAACTTCATAAAAATCCTTACAAACAAAGATACATAGCGGGTTCCAGTAAATGTTCAACCAAGCCTCTATCTTTACTCCTCACTAAGATATTAACAGTGGTGAAGGAGAAACTTCAAGAGTACTGTGCAACAATATATTCGAGAAGTGGTGTAAATCAGATGTGGATACTTAAAAATTCCAAGGAACTTTTGGAAAATTTGAAATCACAAGATTTTACCAAAATCAACAGCTTAAAAACTTACGACTTTTCAACTTTATACACAACCATTCCCCACGATAAATTAAAGTCCAGGCTTTTTGATATCATTGACAGCTGCTTTTTCAATAAAAATGGAACTGGTAAATATACTTACCTTGTCATTGGTCATTTGCAAAATTATTTTGTTAAAAAACATTCTGATTGTACACACAAGTACTCTGAAGATGACATTAAAAAGATGCTTGAGTTTCTGATTGACAATATCTATGTGGTTTTTGGAGACCAGGTCTTCCAACAATCTATTGGAATTCCTATGGGTACTAATTGCGCCCCGTTATTAGCAGACCTTTTTTTGTATTCATATGAAGCAGAATTTGTCCAAAATCTTGTACGTGAAAAGAAGAAAACACTTGCTGTGGCGTTCAACTCGACATTTAGATATATCGACGACGTATTGTCAATCAACAATGGCTATTTTCATTCTTATGTCGATACGATATATCCTGGTGAACTTGAGATAAAAGATACCACAGAGTCTGACACATCTGTTTCATATTTGGATATTTTACTTGAAAAAGATGTTAATGGTAATCTAACAACCAAGCTTTATGATAAACGTGATGACTTTAACTTTTCAATCGTCAACTTCCCTTACTTATGCAGCAATATACCTTCATCACCTGCATACGGGGTATATATCTCTCAGTTGATTCGATACGCAAGAGCATGCTCTACGTATGTACAATTTCTAAAACGAGGTAAATTATTGACAAATAAGTTGATGAAACAAGAATATCAGCCGTCTCGTTTAAAGTCATCATTTCGTAAGTTCTTTGGTCAATACAATGACCTTGTCAGCAAATACAATTTATCATTGAGTCAAATGCTGACTGACATTTTGCATACTAATTGTTAGGCCATTATTTACACACTGAATTGTCGACGGATTTTTCCGTTATTTCCCGATCATGACAAGCAGCACACGGCGGGTGTGACCGGTCGGCAGGGGATGCTCACTCCTCCATGGCACCTGATCCCACCTGGAGGTCCGTGTTTGCTCTGCTCCTATTTTGTATTGTATAATGGACTTTTGAGCTTGAATACTGTTCGTTATCTCCATATATTTCATACTTTGTGTATGAAAATCTTCGACGGGCCAGCTTGCTCCCTTCTGTGTTTCCCGTGGTAAAAAGAACTTCAAAGGTTACAATATTTTCTTGAAATTGGGAAAATTTTGCAAAATTACTCAATTTGTCATCCTCTTATGGTCTCCATATGCAGGTGATAATGGTACATTGCTACACAAATAAAGGGAGGTGAAGTTAAAAAAAATTGAAGTCTTAATGTTTATTATAAAGTTTTGATGTAAGTTTGCCATCAATGTCTTTTTCTAGTAAAATATCCAAATATGAAACAGATGTGTCATACTCTGTGGAGTCTTATTTCCAGTTCAAAAGGATATATCGAATCAAAGTAGGAATGAAAACGAATATTGTTAATTGATAAAACATTGTATATAATTATGTAATTGTAAAATTAAAGGCCAGAGCAAGAGACTTCTTTTTTTCACGTAGAAGTTTTTTGCCATAACCATAACTTGTTCTTAACATTTAATATTGAATGAAGAGCATTGTTCTGATATTGCTAGAAATGGGTACATTTAGATAATGCATTAAACACATAACACAATCAGTTTCAAATAACTTTATCCAAAATATTTCCAGAAAATGAATTTCACGACCAATATTTCAGTGCATTATTTCACAGCGACTATGTAGAATTACAGAAACCAAAAGTACCTTTTAAACAATCAACAATCTATTTAGACCATGAGTTTTCTTGGTTAAATGAATATTCTATAAATGATTCAAAATTAACAGATAAAGTACACTCATTGATGGTAAATTTTTCTGCAAATTTGTATAAAATTTTCTTATTCGAATCAAAATCACATTTGAAATTCAATATTTCTCCTATATGCAAAGTTGTCCGATAAGCAAAAGTTATACAATTGTCATATATTACAGTAATTGTTCTGTACATGATTATTACTCCTGAGTGCAGAGAAATCTGTGATTTTCAAGAAAATAAATATTGATTTTTAAATAGTATAGACTGAAGCAATATTATTATTCATACATCATTTATTGTTTAAACTTAAACATAATCAAATGTTAAAATTTTTATTCACATTCTAAACAGATTTCTCTGAATGTTAATTTTCAGTATTTAAACATTTAAATACAGACAGTCTATCATTTACATGTAGGTAGATTATTCCTGAATGACAAACTGCAAAGTAATTTATTATCTAGAGTAGGATAAGAATTACAACATTGTTCTTTGCAATACAGTGATATGGCCTTGCATTGTCATATGAATATAAAACAAAACTCTTTTGTCATTGAACATGTTGATAGAGATCGATTTCATATCAAACTCAATTATACTATAGTATTTTATTTTCATAAACTTCTTGAAGATTCCCATCGTACTGAAATAAAGATAAGTGTTATCATTAATTATGAAAAACATGAGGAACAAATATGCCTGTCTACATGGTCTAAAAATTACAAATATGAAGAAAAGGATAAAAATATGAAGTAATACCCAAGTACATGGAAATTTAACATGTTGATAGCATTATACACTTATTTCATGACTACGAGGGGAATAGTCAAACTGTTGTCCCGAGGTAATGGGGAAGACCTGGGAAACTGTTGCCCGAGGCCGAAGGCCGAGGGCAACAGTTTCCCAAATCTTCCCCATTATCGAGGGACAACAGTTTGACTGTTTCCTGAGTTGTCGTGAAATAAGTGTTTTATTACCTAACCTGCTATATAATTTCTTAAAGTAATGATATCAACCTAATAATCAATGGCTTTTAAAATACATCGACAAATGTTTGTACATGTATTATTTTTTTTAAAAACAAACTAAACAAGATGAATATTAATCAAATTCTCACACCGATTGGTGTTCAGAAAAAATAATGGATGTGATATTATCATGCACTAATAAATTGAAAAAAAAACTTGTAGTAAACTACATAATGATGTCTTGAAGATTTGAATATTAACGTTTATGGCAAAGAACTATACTGAGTGAAAGGGGCCTACATTTTTCATAAATTACCCTCAGAAAAGGTGTTCATGGCCTCTTCTTCGAAATGATATTAAATTGATTATATATCAGGATTACTTTTCAGATGATAATTTCAAATTGAATGAAAATGCTTTAATTAATACATAATTCAATATTAAAGCTGTAGAGTACGGGGAATTAATTATGACGTCATAATGGAACAGTTCAGCCATGCAACAGTTCATTCTGTGACCGGGTAAACAGTTTTGACTGTTTCATGATTTGCAAAAACATTAAAAAGAATCAGGAAACAGTTCAAAATGCCTAATTACAATTTATATAGTAGGTTAGGTAATAAATTAAATTGTTTCATGTATGAAATTTAAATTTTACTATTTACTGAAAAACATAGTTCTTAACAAGCTACTATTAAATATGTAAAATGGCAACAGGAAAAACAATAAGCAATACTCAAAATACATACTGTACGTACATGTCAAGTATATAATGTTTTTAACTAAACATAGAGTGTTTGTATGAAAAAACTGCTCAGTTTTACATGTACATGTATACCATTTATGCACCTTTTCCATCACAGTGATCAGGTAAGACAACTCCTGTATTTTGGTATCCAGAGTTATCTCTCTTTACCAGGAAAATCTCTTTCTCAGAGTTTTACTAAAATACTGTCATTGCATGCACTCAATTATAATTCATTCACGCGGATCAGTCATCCATCTGTCAATCATATATTGACCACTCCCTCTCACTGTCGTCTCAGGTTCTCAAGACGCGCCTCCAAATCAGCATCTGCGTCACTAACTCCTGCAGCCTGTGGTTGTTGCTTTTCTGCTGTTTTGGTTCCTAAGCTTGTTCCTGCATTTGGGATGTCTGAAGAAAAAAAAAGATCATCATTTTCTTCACTGAGATTGACATAAAATCTTAAATCATTACTTAAGTATTGTGTAGAATGTTTTTTTTTTATCTAATCAGAGTGCAGAGTGTTTTTGAATAATCTATTCCATTTTCTTTGACAGTTTACCTGAGAGCTGATCGGTGAGCTGCAATCCTAATTCGTCAAGGACTTGAGAAACAATGGCATCACTGGGAAAGAAAAAAGACAAATGCACATGTTTATAAAGAGATTTTCTAATATAAATAAGAAACAAGAGATGTTGTGAAACACTTATGCCCCCCCCCCCCCCAATAATTGCATAATTACATGACTACATGCATAAGAATTTTTCTACATCCAAGGGGCATAACTGTCAAAAATTGCTTGATCATAACCAAAATAGAACTTGACCTTCATATTTTTATGATAAATCTGTATACTAAATTTCATTTCAGTATCTGCAACCTCTGCGAAGAAAATGAGCGGAAACTGCAAATAACTGGAAGTTTTCTAAGTCCAAGGGGTATAACTCTGTTAAGAAATGCTCGATTGTACCTAAAACAAAACTTGACCTAGATATTCTTATGATAAATCTGTATACCAAATATCATTTCAGTATGTGCAACCTTTGCGAAGAAAATGAACGGAAACTGTTGGTGGATCAACAGACAGGCCGATTGACCGACAAACCGACAGACAGCAGCAAAGCAATATGCCCTCCCTTCTTCGAAGGGGGGCATAATAAAACATGAAATATTATTAATACCAAATACTTGAAGTTGATATGTTTGTACATTGCATAACAAAATTATCTTCTCTACATTTGAATGACTTTTCATTTGCGTATGTTTGCTACTACATGCATAAGTGGTTAATGAAAAGATGAAATCACAGTAAAACATGTTTATACATGTAGCAAAATGCTGGGGTCAGACAATTTTCCTTTGTAATATATTTAATTAATATTTGTTATACCCCTAAAGTTCACAGCATGTTGTTAAACCACAGGTAATAAAAATCATTTTGCTGTAAGCTTTAATTCATCATAAGCATGTTCGCTAAAAGTTAAGACTGTTTTACAGTGCTTGCAATGTATAGAGTTCTGTTCATTGCATAAAGCACTTCATGGATATGCAAAATATTAATATTTTACATGCAATACCTAAACTTTGTATCCAAATCCTTAAAAATTTTGTTCCATTTCCAATTAATATGTTTAATTCCCACTAATCTTCATCAAGCTATACCACTTTTATCACCAGTATTGACTTAAGTGAACACCACCTTAAGATCTACAAGGTACAAAACTTGGAACTTGTGACCCTCCACTCCTCTTAGATCCACTTACCTTTCTTCTTCATCGTCCTCATCTCCCATGGCATCATCAATGGCATCGTTCATCATCTCCTCTTTCATGTCCATGATCTCTGACTGCTTCTCAAACTCCATCATGATCTTCTGAATCTGCGGCAGCTTCAGCTGGTGTTCAAAATTAAAACAATTTAGCATGAATGTTTTTGAAGAGTTTATTGTAAAAGTAGAATTAGCTGCATGCTGTTTAATAGTATTATACACAATTCTCTAGGATCTACCCAAAGCTAGAAATTTACTTTTGCAAAGGCAACATATTTCAGAAGGATATATATATATTATACAGTAAGCAGTACAAAGTCACTGCAACACCAGGCTCTGCTGCTCTGGGGCAATAAAACTTAGATAACCTCACTTTTGGTCTCAGTCTCACTTAAATTCAACGATGTGAATTCCTTTTTGGTAAAGTGAGAATGAGATCAAAAAATGGGCTAGCTATATTTAAGGCCCCGGAGCTTGGAGCCATGGGAAATGAAAGCAGAAATTACCCTCTCATATAGTTAATTATCTATGTGTTTATCTCCAGTTTTATTGTACTTACAAGTATCTGATTTGATACAATTATTATTAAGAATCATAACACATATTTCGTCTTCAAAAAAAAAGTTTAAATGTAAAATGGAATAAAATTTTTTCCTAATATTTATTTGAAGTCTTCAGCTTTGATTTCAGTTAATTTCAAATTTTGAGCAAAATGGCCACCACAAAACATATGTTATCATCCAACAATAATCACAGGAAATTCTGTCTTCTGTACTGCAACAACATATCAACCAGTACACACTTAAGGCTGCCCAGTACATTTTTTAAGGGTTCTCATTGAATTCTTTGAAAAATGCTATCAATCACTTTTACCATAATTGATTATCAAGTTCAATACAAATGTATCATATGCACTCTAGTATGCAAAATTCAAAAACAAGAGCCTTTGTCTTGTTATATACAGTACCTGTCGATTCATTGTCATCATGGCTTTTGTGACCCCCTTCATGGCTTGTGCCATTGCGTTGTTGGATTTCAGAGTCTGGATTTTCAAAGACACTGCTTGGATGTTAGCTCTCATTAAGATGAACTTCTTCACGTACCGCCTCGTTCTCACAAGATCCTTGGCCATGACCTTAACTGCATCCTATGAGAGAGTTTTAATTAGTACAAGACAAATGAATGTATACTTTTTTTAATCTTTTATTCTTAAAAAAAATTTCTCTTTGATAGGGATATTCAATGTTAACATTATTAACCATGTTAACTGTTACAATGAACATCTTTATAATGAATTCACACCAAAAGAAAAATTATTTTCATTCTCTGTAGTTCTGATCATCCATGGCACTTTTGTTATATGTATACACATAAGCATGCACCTGTTGATCAAATTAGAATGTGAACTTCTGCTTCTGCCAAGTATTGCCCACAATCAACAAGCTGATTATTATGGCAAATGTGGTGCGCATGATATGATCAAAATTAAAACTTTAAAAGGTTAAAAGATTAAAATAATATTTCTTATTTATGGCTGGAAGGCGATCACCTGAGACCTAAAGGTCTCAGGTGTATTCGCCGAGACTATTCCTGATGGTAGTTTATTCCACTCTTGGATGGTACGAGGGAAATAGGAATACTTTTGATAATCGCTCTTACAGGATGGTATTTGGTAGGCTTTATGATGAGTATGTCGTGATCGATGTGATGATGGAATGAGTCGATGGCACTTGGTGATGGCAACTTCGTCATGAACAATTTTATAAAATAGGACGAGTCTGGATATTCGCCTACGTTCTTCAAGTGACTGCCATTGTAGGTGTTGAATCATGCTGTCTGTTGCCATGCCTGTTGCTTACGTATCTTGCAGCACGTCGTTGTACCATTTCTAGGTTATGGATGTCTTTTTGGGTGTAGGGGTCCCAGACAGGTGCTGCGTGCTCCAACAGTGGTCTGACTAACGATTTGTATGCACTCTCCTTTATTGAAGTTGAACTGATGTTCAAGTTACGACGGAGGAATCCCAAGGTCTTATTTCCTTTACCACAGATGTTATTTATGTGGTCACTCCATTTCAGGTCAGATGTTGTTAGACAGCCAAGGTATTTCGCCCTCTTTACGTGCTCGAGAGTATGGCCATGTAGCCTATATTGATGATGTATCGGGTTGGACTTCCTGCTGACCGATAGTACATTACACTTGTCTGGGTGGAATTCCATTTTCCACCTCCTTTCCCACATGCACAATTTATCTAGGTCGGCCTGGAGTGTCTGGGTATCCAATTCTGATGTGACAGTAAGATAAGCAATAGTGTCATCAGCAAATAGTCTTACTGTGGCATTGAGGCCTTCTGGCATGTCATTTATGTAGAATAGGAATAAGCATGACCCAAGGACTGATCCTTGGGGCACGCCAGACTCGACACTAATATAGCTGGACATTTCTCCATCAACAACTACGGCTTGTGTTCTGTTAGAGAGGAAGCTAGAAATCCAGTTGTTCATGTTGCCCTGGATCCCATAATGTCGGAGTTTATGGATGAGGAGGCTATGGCTAACTTTATCAAAAGCCTTAGAAAAATCCATAATCAATACATCTGTCTGCTTTCCGGCAGCCATGTGGGTGGTTATGTCATCTATAAACTCAATGAGTTGGGTTTCACAGGATCTTTTGCTACGGAAACTTTGTAACATTCCAGTGTTTTCCTTTTATTTCAAAGTAAAGGGTTTGAGATCAATTGTAACAGGCTATGGGTTGAGGTTTATGAATAAAATCTCTGTGGACCATATAACAGTTATGTTTTAAATTTTGATTTCTAAGCGGCATTTATATCAATTGAAGTGGTCAATTTGCCTGGTAGCCTGTTCTTAGGGAAACACTGCACTCACCAGTTTTCTGTCCCTAGATTTCAGACAAATTATTGCCCTAAGTATATTCTACTTTTACCCTTACCATCTGCCCCTTCTTGGCCATGTTTTTGATGTCAGCGATGACCTTCTTCTCCTGTTGTTCCATCTTTGACCTTTCTCTGTCTAATTCCCTCATTGCTTTGTTCAGAGCTCTTTGGTTCTGCCTCAACATCTCTTCTGGCGTCTTCTTGCGCCCAAATAGCCATTCCAGTGGCATGGTTACTCAGTAGTGGGTCAGAGTGCTAAATCTACAATTTAATTTATGACACTGTCAGGTATATTTTATGTACATATTTAACTTTCAAGCTTAACTGATATTTTAAAATGATTTTTACCACAAAATATTTTACAGGTTGAAAATTAATATAGATATCTGATTTTGTAACCCAATATGATCAGAGTTTCTAAAAACCATACAAGCTATCCATGCCATAGGGGTTTGTTTTATATGGTAGTATGTATGCTACTACACTATTCAATTAGACATTGTATTATTGACAAGGGAACTAGCACTTTTTTTGTATAGTATTCTTGTGGTCTGATTAGTTAATTTTAATTTGAATAAACTTCATTAGCCTGAAAGTCTCCATGCTTAAAATTAAATATCTTCTGCAGAAATTGAATGTCATCATTCTAAAAATGAAAGTAAGGTGTATCTAAGTAATGCTTCTCGTTTATAAAGGGAGAAAATTCGGGATGTAAGGAGAAATCATTAAACATACAGAATACAGGCTTGAATACAACAGGAAAACGGCAACTGATTAGCAGCTATAAATGATTTGTTAATATAGTTATGCTTCAAATATAGAACAATGTCAGATGATAGTATTCTAAATAATAAATTTAAGACCCCAAAATAAGACAAAATCATTTATTTATAAAATCAATCCAGTGTTATCATGATTATCATATATCCTACCTCAAATGAATCTTGCAAATAGTGATCTCAAAGAGTTACGGATATAAGAATCATTTTTACCTCCTAAAATATAAATAAAACTATAGCATGATATTTAGAAATACCTGGGTATGGTAAATATTGTTATGACACTGAGTCAGGAAATATTCAGGGCAGTGTTTTGAAAATGACGTCACAAGTTATAGTCTCAAAACAAAATGATTTAAAGCATTCTTTTTATTTTCCAAATTAAGTTAAACAATATAATTTAAATTATAACTTATATTTTTATGAACATCTCACGAAATATTCAATTTTCAGCTAACTATAAGCGTAACAAAACAAAATATCTTTTCTTCTCGACTAATTTATTGGTAGAAAAAACATGGCGGCCAAGCTGCAGTACTGTGCAAGTTGGGGTAATTTACAGTAAATTTTCGTTAAATATCAGTCCGTGATTGGTAAAGAATGTAATGGACATTTCATTCTTATCCTGATGTAAATAATTTTATCAAATTTTACACCCTGCGGTTCTTTTGAAGTCTCATGATAATTTAATTTGGGTCACACAAACATGACAAAAGAAATCCATGAATTTTATGTTGGTTGGTACTTTTTTCCAGACAAAACTCATCTACCTTATTTGATCCGAGGTATAGAAGTCTTATTCTATACTGGTCAGTCTATGTTGATGGGCCAACATTATTTTGTGTGAAACAGTAATACTGCTATGGGGAGACACTCTCATATTTTAGTAACTGTCTTTTTTTTAATATCTTTTTTAGCTATTTGACTCAAACAAACTTCTTCCAAAGCTAGCCTAAACCCAGATCACAAGCGCCAAAATTCTCAAGAACTTCCCAGCCCAACTTAACAAGAACTTAAGCACATACTGCAGTGTGAGGCAGAGACACTGACCACAAGAAAACACCAGAAACCAACGAAACTGTATAATGACGTCAGCTGTCAAAAAGATAAACAGTCCTCAGGCCTGGAAGGTACAAAAGAAAAGGGTTAAAGCTAAATTATACAGTGATATTTTGTGTATTTTATGATTACATGATGTGTAAGGTTAACCCTAGTAGCGCTATATAAAATACACAGTGTTAGTGCTCTGAGCTAATATTTTTGTCTGCCTTGGGATGCATTTGTTTTAGCAATTTAATTCAGATTTTATTGAAAAAACATAGACATATTATACATCAAAATGTTCAGCAGAGATAGGACTTCAATATTTTGATAGCCAGTTTTCATTCTTTGCATTAACAGATAGGTAATTTACAGGTAAAGCGAATATATTACAAAAAACACAACTTTTTCTTCATGGGACTAAACTTTTATTCATATTTATTCACTAAGATGCTTACTGACAATAATACAGATAATTTTTAACACAGGGACATAGTTTTGGTACAAATTTTCAACGTTTGTGTAGTCACATCGTAAGAAATACCTTCGTCAAAAGTTGGTGTCCCCCATTGTTGATTTTACCTTGATGTGGAATCTCGACATTTGCCGTATTTCTCTCTTAATCTGGCTTCTTTAAACTATTGTTTTCATTAATCATGATATGATTGTCTTTATTTCTGTTGAGTTTATATAAAATAAAATACTTAGGATCGTTTTTAACTCGGACATATCGAAGTCTACCCCCTTGAATCCAGCCTTGGCATGGGTCGATCGCCGACTAGTAAATTTCACATTTTAAACATGTTTAGCATATTCTTCTTCTTAGAAAATGTCAAAAACATCTTGTAGTAAATATCAATCAAGTTTTTTACCGCAATTTTAGTCTCTAAACAAGTTTACTAGCACATCGAAAAATGTTTTCTTGTATATGCCGCCATTTTGAATCACGGGGAATAATCATGACCTTTTCACCAGTCTAAATTTACACAACCAATCACATTCCATCTAAGTAATGGTATTTTTTATTCATTCACATCTAATACCAAATAAGGAAAGTGCTTTTATTAGACAAAATTTCCATTTGCTGCCTAAAATAGCGGTTTAAAAATATCGTTGATGTCACCCCGAATATTCTGGGGTCAGCTCACAGCACATGGCTTTGTTTACCGTAATATTCTGGGTTCAGCACTATAAGGGTTAATCTATTTACAGCAATATAATTTTAGCTCCCTTTTTCCCAAACTTCTAGAACTCAAATTATGCCCAACATGTTCAAAGGTTAATAAATCCATGTTTAGAAAATATCTTAAAACAGAAAATTGTAGTTGTGTTTAAACTTATATAACTTATGGAAGTAGAGCAAAATCAGACTAACATATTTTAGTTGAGTTCAGTAGATTCTTAACATTCAATTTGACAATAAAATGCTGAAGCTTCCCGAATCTTTCGAACAGGTCTTTATTTTTTACTCCACATAACAGAGTTTGATACAGATTTCTGTTGTGTTATTTCTTAACAGAGTATACAGCCGCCAGCACAACAGGACCCTGCCATTCTGTCCTATCAGAGGTCTTCTAACCTCCTATCTAACAATGGTAATCGAGAAACAGGATTTGTCGAAAAACTTCTGGTGAGTTGTGGATATTTAAGAGAGCAAATCGTCTCTTACAGTGGTTCAAGATTTCTTTACATATTCCTCTAGATAATTTGAAAGCAGTTCTTAAGAAAAGGTTGATGTTGTTTATTGAGGCATACAAGTACTTTGCCATAGAAAGTTTTCTGTTGTTTTTACATGTATGGACATACATGTATGTTGAAATTGATATAATACCAGTCATATAATTCATGGTCACTGATTGCAAAACAACAAGGGTTAGTTAGCCATGAATATTTGTTTTATTTGTGTTTATTGTTTTCAGCATTCCTATGGATTTATCCAGTGTTGTGAGAGAGAGGCTCGTCTGTTTTTCCATTTTAGTGAATATTCCGGAGACATTAATGGAGTCAAAATAGGAGGTTTGGGCTTTGAGTACATGTAATCTTATAATTAACCAGTTATTTTGTTGATATTTTATAGAGCTGGAATGTGGATAATAAAATACGGGAACAAAAAAAAAATATTGTTAAATTTTCAGCAGTGAAATCTACTGCTCTTATATCTGTAAAGTGTACTATCATGTAGAGTGTGCATTTTAATTTATATCTAGAAATTGGCATCATTTATGGACAACAAAAATTAATATGTAATTTCTGATTTCAGATGCAGTGGAGTTCCAGCTGTCAAGCGACAGAAGAACTGGTCGTCCAATCGCGTGTGCCGTTGTAAAAATTGATGAGACGTCTTACGAGGTGTTAAGTGAGGACCGGTTCACTGGTTCTGTTGTGCAAGAAGCCAGAGTTAGCAAGAGCAAAAATGTAAGACTTTTGAACTATGAAAGAAGAAAGTTTCAAACATGAAACTTGTTTCAGTTTTCATCAGATTTAAGGTTTCCAACCAATTTTATCTTTTAATGAATTTTTTATTCCTTACTCCCCTTTTTTTGTGGAGAAATAGAATATTCTGAGAAATAATTGTACGTTGAAAAGCATTTATGTTTTTTTTTTTAATTATTTAAATATGCTTACTCATTTGACTTCACCTATTATTCAGTATTCTAGTTTTTGGTGACCGGTTGTCTGTCTGCATGTCTGTCTGTTTGCCTTCAATAGCTTTTGTTTCATTCGGTTTTTTTTTTTTTTTGTAACATATGTCAACGAGATTTACATACATACTTGTATACATCTAAAATAATATTAAAAAGTGAGTCTTGTTTTTTGTTTTTTTTTTTCATCATGATATAATTGTCAATTAATAATTATTTAGCTTTGATTTACTATCAAACAGGGATGCGTAAATGGCAATATTGATGGTATGGGCAGAGTGACCTATGAACACAATGGAGAATGCTTCTTTTTGCCATTTGGACTTGACGATATAGAGGACAGCAACCTAAAACTGAAGCCAGGAGACCAAGTGTCCTTCTTCATGGCAACTGATAAAAGGTGTGTTAGAGAATGCTTTATGTCCAAACTTCTCAGTCCTGTGAATAGAAAAATGACACGACTCATTGACTGTTAACTTTTACTTTCAATTTTTCCTTTTTATTCCTGCTCAGCAAGCACCATTACCAAATTTGTTTCAAAAACGATATAGTGATAATTTACATGTTATTACATGAAGGATTGCAGGTAATAGTTATATGTCACGATTGTATGAAATATAAGAATGAATGTGAAATTAATTAATGCAGGACTTATATATTAAAGTATTGCTATTAAAGTAAAAAAAATTGCAAAATCCCTTGATTATGGGAATCAATGAAAATTCGAAAGATAAGATCAAAATGCAAGCATCTATTCAGTTCAGAGCAGAATATCGTGAGGTTTCATATGATCATGGGGATTGACCTCAGTGTTAGAAGAATTTTGTTAAGGAAAAAATGCAATACTTTGTCCTTTTGTTTTGCAGAAATGGTAACATACAAGCGAGAAAGATTGAGTTAGTTTCCTCCTCCCCTCCCCCGCGGTTCCAGGGTGTGGTTTGTTCCATGAAAGACTCATTTGGTTTCATTGAGAGAGCTGATGTAGTGAAGGAGATATTTTTTCACTACAGTGAATTTAACGATGACATTAATGATCTTGTCCTGGGAGATGATGTAGAATTTGATGTTCAGTCCAGAAATGTAAGTTGTTAGCTGACCAGATTGGGCTACAGTGTATGACTGTGACAGGATATTAACTAGCTGATGAAAGTCTTGTTCTATTAATTTAAAAAAAAATCTTTTTAATTATTCAAGACATGGAGATTAATTTGTTTATTTACTGTAATACATGTAATTACACAATTTAGAAATTTTTTGATGGCATCTAGGTAAACCTGGTTATTGGCAACAAAAATCTGTGTTGGGGACATTAATGCTTAAGGGCTAGCTTAGTTCTCATGTGGAATCTTGGTTTCTGAAAAAAAAAAAAATTGTTGCAGTATTTTGTTGTCAGCTGCATTTTGTATCAAGTTAATTGCAAAGAAAGAAAAGTAGAAAAAAAATGCTTAAAATTGAATTGTACTTAATAATACTGAATTGCAAAACCAAACTCTAATTTGTATCACATACAAAGGCCTTGGTCTGCATGTTTTGGTGTATATTTTTAATATAGAGTTTTTTTTAGGGTAAAGAGGTCGCTGTCAACATTAAAAAGTTACCTGTCGGGACAGTAATATTTGAAGATATCAGCATTGACAAGATGGAAGGGAAAATAGTGAGAACATTGAAAAGTAATCGCAGACAGAGTGATCCACTTGGTGGAAAAATTTCCTGTCAGACCAGTAAAGGGTAAATTTTGAAAAAAAATTTTTTATAGAAATGGAGAGGTAGATAAAGCACTGCAGTGTGACTCTGATGATAGTGTAAAGAACCTTTTGTGATTTGATGTGCGAATTGTGCGTTTCAGTATGAATCATATAAAATAACATAAAAGTATCAAATCCCTTATTTACATGTTGCTAATTAACTGGATAAGTGAAGTATTTCTTTGAGTACTGTAATAGAAATTACACATTTTATGGGATATGTTCATCATGTATATACATAAACATTTTATGTATATACACTATGTATTAACAATCTGATTTGAGAATTTCCAGACACTGAACTGAAAGTTTTATGCATGAATCAAAAAAGATGAATAAATAAAGAGTAGAATGATTTCCAACTTATTATTTTGAAATTTTATAAAATCTGTATTGGAAACATGGTAAAAGTGTAAAATGTTAAAAACCTATGAATTTTAGCTTAAATTTATGTATACAGTGCGGACTCGTTATTACGGTGATGGTTTTATAAGATAGAACGCTTATTACATTGTAAATTCAAAGCACAAAACCATTTCTTAACAAATCTATACAAATACGATGTCCTAAAATGCCGGGACTCGGTATTACGATGTAAAAATTCTGTCAAAAAATTTTTTTCACCCCGTGTTTATTCAGTGTTGATCGACTGTACATGTATACACTTAAGGAGGCGCTAGATAAACATTAAAACACCTGTGCTCTGACAGAGTGTTAACTTGCAGGGCCGTTAGGTGATTAGTGATGCTTGACTGCACACACCTTGACTGTTCTAGCGAGGTCAGCAGAATTGGAGACGTGTCAAAGCCATTGCTAAACAATTAAACTGTTTATTTATAAATGTAGTCTCTAGTTTATCTATCTCTGTAAAGTTTATTTTTTTTTTTACTATGGATAATAAGTAAAATTTATTTATTAAATAAAGGGTTACATTTAATCGTATGCATGTATGTTAAATACGTAATGTGTAATTTCGTTTGCAGTTAAACAGCGGGAATTGACAGATTGGGTATCAAACATAATTTTGGCAAAATTTGAACTCCACTAACGTTTTAACAGCTTGGATAGTGGCTTAGACTACCTCACAGGTGTCAGCAGAAATACAAATCGATAATTGCTGAACTGATAATTGAACTCTGTTCAGTAATTTAAAAATTCAAATTTATTTTGACATTTAGCTTGTGTGTTCTCAAATCCTGTCCAGGAATATGCCTATCACACTGCCCACTTTCATCAGTTGTTCACTGCAGCTCTAAGCTCATTGAACACCCAAAACGGCCCAGTGATGTATTAATTGTTGTTATTTATGTAGTAACGATACGAAGACATTGAAAATTTTACGCACGCATTATCTAGACAGAAACGAAAGTAAAAGTAAAAGGAAATGGCGGCAGATAAATGAAGATTGCCAAAGTTTTTATAAAAAATGTGCACATTTCTTTTAAAATGAAGGAAATAGAAGAAATAGCATCATGAAGATATGTATTCAAGATAAGTTATTAATAAATTATATTTATATAGCGTTTTAATGAAGAATTTGAACAGAAGAAGGAAACAATAGAAGAAAAATACACCTCCTAATACAACAAGAAGCTTTCAAAATGATGTTTTACTGGATTTTATTGGGAACTTTTATTATATTGCCCTCAGTATTACGATATTTTACGGTGACAAAATGAACATCGTAATAACGAGTCCGCACTGTATTTGCATTAAAATTAAATATCAGCATGCAAGTCGAAGACTAGTAATTTCCATGCAAAACTAAAAAATTTTACAGTAATTTTTAGGAAAATAAACATTGTTAATTCAAAGATACTGGATTTAAAGACTTATAACACTATTTGCTCCATTCAGTTTTACATTTATTTGAAAGTGAAAAATAAGAAAAATATCCTGATTTCAGGACGGAGGAGTTTCCTTACGGTGACAAGGACCAGTGTGGTGAGTTCACACTCCAGGTGGGGGACTTGGTGGAATTCCAGGTGGCGACTGATCGTCGCGACAAACTCCAGAGGGCCACCAAGATCCAGCTCCGTCAGGAGACGTTTAATCAGAATGGAGAAAAGCGGGAAAAGGTGAGTTGCTCCAAAAAAAAAAATCATATCTGTCACAAGGGAATTTTTTAAGGAAGTTTTTAAACAGAAGATTTTAGTTTTGAAATATTTTTAGGTTCATGTTGAATATGTTTGTTTTGTTTGAATGAAAAGGTCAAATAAAAATTAAAAAAAAATGGTTGTTGTTTATAACAAAATGAGCTCAAAGTTAATGCTAGTAATTTTTTCCCCTGATGTGTTCTAAAACTTGAAAGCAGGATCTTGCTCCACATCAGATTTCATATATTAACATGGTGATCATATTGATACTTAATTCACAATTCTTTCTTTTTTACACATAGGGAGTGATATCGAACTTGAAGGATGGCTATGGATTTATTCAGTGTACAGACAGGGACTCTAAAATCTTCTTTCACTTCAGTGAACTGATCGATTTAGTAAAGGATGTACGAACACAAGAGGAAGTGGAATTCACTGTTGTCCCAGTAAGAAATTCATTTCGTATACAAGTAAATGAATAATTCATTTGCAGTTTCAGGGCATCGTGTCCACTTTTGAAATACTATAATGATATAACACAAGCTTGATGTTGAAAAAAAAGACTCGTAGAAGTCAAATGGCAAGAACATGAATTTGTGAGTTAACTGTTGATTAAGGGTTTTGATATGTTTTCAGCCATGTAAAAATAAAAGCTAGTAATTTTATTGTGTGAGTAGTGCTTTTTGCGAATAAACATGATTTTGTACATGTATGATAAACAATTACCAATGCATGTATAAGTATCTGAGTTTCAAAATGTAAAAATGTGAAAACAGCAGTTTCAAAATTGGTTGTACATCTTTGCAGGATCCATCTACCCCTAATCGCCCAATGGCTATCCGAATCCGATTCTTGCCAAAGGGAAGTGTTTCCTTTATAAACATTCGTCCTGAAAAGTATATTGGGACAGTCGATCGGGAACCATCTAGTCATAAAAGTCCTTGTAAGTGTTGATCTGTAAGAAAATACGTTTAAATTATTTTTCAATGGAAAGTTTGTTATATTTCATGCATTCAGCATCTGTGTTACATTGCAAGTTTCTTTCGTAAATTTTAAAAAGTTTCATTTTTTATGAATACATGATAAATAATCTTTAATTTTCCAAATCAGGCAATATAATGAATTCATAAATTATTACCTTTTACATATAATGTACTCTAAATATCCATAATAAATATAAATTGGAATCAGGATTATCTTGGATTAAATTGTATTTATATTAATATTTTCATTTGCAGCAAAACTTAAAGACAACGAACCCGCGGGTAATATTGTGTTTGATTATGAAGGGAAAATACAAAATATTTCTTATTACAACAAAGACTTGGTAGATATTCGAGAATCCCCCAAATATGGAGACAAGGTAGGAAAAGTTCCTGATTGTTAGGGGTGTCACGGTTACCTGAAATACATGTAATTGTAAGCCGCAAGTTGTTGGGTTTCGGTTCAATTTTTCCAGATTTTGGTTTGGGTTTAGTTTATATTATAAGAATCTGTTTTATACAAAAATTGGCATTCAAAAGAATGATGAAAATAACAGTGATAAATAAACTTTACAACTAAAGTCTACTTCATCCATAACAAAACACTTGTCACAGAAGGGTGGGATAATTATCAAAATGAGCAAGAGTGGTCATGTTGTAGTTAATAATCAGCCTAGTAGTCCTTAACACCAATGTCGAGATGTGAACATGGTAAATACCTGTTTTAATGGTGAATTTATCAAGTTAAATTTTTTTCAAGTTTAATTCATGACCTGACCCGAAAATTTGGATCCTTGACAGCCCTACTGATTGTGTAGTTGTAAATGTTATTTTGGAACTTTCTGGCAATCAGTTAATGTTATTTTTTAATTCCAGCCAACAGAATATTGCTGGTATTATACATGTACCATCAAATTGAGTTTAAACATAACCAAAAAAGTATGCTGGGTGAAAAGAGTCAAGGCTTTAAGTTTGATGGACTCTTGCTGTATAAATCAACTTTTAGTGAATCTTTTAAAACTACATGGCTATGAAACACTGAAATGTATTTTGACTGGAGTTTTGGAACATTTTATTGACCATTTACAGGTGGAGTTTTCCATCGGTGAGATCAAGCGATCAAATTCCCGTTTCGCAGCAGCTGTAAGGGTTGTAATTAGAAACATACAGGGAAAATGTCAAGGATTTATCGCAACTCTGAAGGATAACTACGGATTTATTGAGAACGCTGATCACGACAAGGAAGTCTTTTTTCACTTCAGGTATTTTACTCAGAAAATATTTTTTGATTTGATTAAATACTTGTATTTCACATAAAGAACAAATTTAATTTGTTATGAATGTACAGTGTTTGATTTTTTTTTTTTACTGAAAATTTATCCAGCAAAGCAAGAATGATGGTATCAGTTTAAGATCTGTCAACCCTTAAAATTTTAGTGTAAGGCTTACAGATTGAGCATCTAAAATACACCTAATGATTTCTGTATTTACAGTATTCTACTGGTTTTCCTTTATCTCAGTTAAGTTTGACATAGATGTACAGTCCTACACCTTCAGTTTTAACTTTTATCGTAAAAAAGTCATTGTCTTTACAGCACTTGCTTATATTGTCATTGTCCATTTCCATGCAAACTTGCGATCTAAATCAGTTTTGAATAAAAAGTGGTAAAATCCATTCACCAAAAGAAAAATCTCTAGTGGCCTAAATGGCCTCGAGATCCCCTTTTTACAATTTTTCATTTTTGATGTTGGCAGCTTTGCAGTTTTGGTGATTTGTTCAAAAACATTTTAAGATGTAATACATAATTTCCGAATCAGAGAAAATAAAGTTATATTGAGAGGGTATTGGATATATGAGCTTGTTTATTTAGAAGAACATTTTCATGGCACAACAATAAATTGCAAAGTTCATACTGTTGACTTCATTATCTCAAACATTAGTATTTCAAATACTATGGATAATTATATCAAATTTAGTTTTTAAGTCCCAACCAATTTTTTTTTCATGTGTCTAAAATCCTTGGATATCTCTGTCCCATCAAGTTGAGATAACAAGGTCTGACAGTATATTAAAGGTATGCAAAACTTTATAATGATTTAATAATGAATCCTTTGAATAGTTCTTTTGATGGTGACGCAAATGACCTTGACCTTGGAGATGAAGTAGAGTACACAGTCACAAGAAAAAGTGCCAAACTTAGTGCAGAAAATATCCGAAAAGTGCCAAAGGGAACTGTGGCTCCAGAGGTAAGGGGAAAAAATAACATGCTTTGAAATTCTAATATAATGATATCTGAGATTTTTTAATACAGTAAAAACATGAAAAAACGGTTATAGCGAACATGCTTATAATGAATTCAGGCTTACAAGAAAGTGATTTTCTTTCCTTTGGATTTAAGACATGTTATAAACTTAGCAGATATAACAAATTATATTTATAGCGATTCAGAATTGGTGGTCCCTTGCACTTCGCTTCGTTTTACTATAATTTCTTGTAGTATATGTGCATACTATTAAGAAGCAGCGTAGATAGATATTTTTTTATATATTTTGTCCAGGACATATTATTTGATAAGGGAGTTCTTCAAGGGAAAGTGATACGGCCAATGAGAATAGTGAATCCAGACCAGGATGAGTATGCAGGCCTGGTTCAAGTGGGCGGTGATGGTAAGTGAACAAGAAATATTTCTGCCCAAGGGCTACAAAATATAGGTGGAACACTTATCTGGGGCCTGCTGATTTGAAGTTTCTCCAGTTCATAGCCAAAATATTTGTCAGGCTGATAAAAATGTCTTTCAATGACTTTTATCTTGAATGTTAAATGGAAGTCTGAAGGACTCCTGAAATGAAGCATCTAATGAGAAAAGTTGAGTTCTGTTGACTTGATCAATCTCTGGACATAAAAAAAATTCTGGATGTGAAGTATGAGAACATAGTCCATCTTGTGAAGAAAAATATATATATATTTTTAGGTCACCTGAGTCACTATTGCTATCTGTTTTCGTCCGTCGTCGTCCGTCGTGTGTTAACTTTTGAACATTTTTAACTTCTTCTCCAGAACCGCTCAACCAATTTCAACCAAATTTTGTATATAGCATCTATGGGTGAAGGGGAACAAAAATTATGAATTTCATGGTTCCTGCCCCCATGGGGCCTGAGGGGTGGGGCTAAAACCACCAAAATTAATGCAATCTTTAAAAATCTTCTTCTTTACTCCTGGACATCTAGCAGTCAAACTGTTGGCATGATTGTAATAAGCATTGAGCCCTCTACCAAAATTGTGAAATTCATGGCCCCAGGGTCAGGGGTTCTGGTGCTAGGGCGGGGCTATATAGATCATATAGTGAAAGTGCATTATTTCTTTGTAAAATCTTCTCTGCTGCTGGGTATCAAATAAACTAACTAAGTACATAGTTATGATTCACTTATGAAGAGCAAGAGTGCCTCTTCCAAAATTGTGAATTTCATGGCCCCAGGGTCAGGGGTTCTGGTGTTAGGGTGGGGCTCTATTGATTATTTGCATTAATTCTTTGAACATCTTCTTCTCTGCTCCTGGGTATTAAATAAACTAACTTTGTGCATAGTTATGATGAGCATGGTTGCCTCTTTCAAAAGTTTGAATTTCGTGGCCCCTAGGTCAGGGGTGTTGGTGTCAGGGTAGGGCTCAATTGATATATATAGTGAAAATGCATTATTTCTTTGAAAATCTTCTCTCTCATGGATATTAAATAAACTAAGTACATATTTATGATGAGCATGGCTGCCTCCTCAGAAATTGTGAATTTCGTGGCCCCTGGGTGAAGGGTTCTGGTGTTAGGGCGGGGCTCTATTGATCGTATAGGGAAAATGCATAAATTCTTTCAAAATCTTCTTCTCTGCTCCTGGGTAATATTCTAACAAAGAAAGTGCATGGTTATGATAAGGAAGAATGCCTCTTCCAAAATTGTGAAATTCATGGCCCCTGGGTCAGGGGTTCTGGTGAAAGGGGGGGGGGGGGGGGCTCTATTGATTTTATAGTGAAAATGCATAATTTCTTTCAAAATATTTTTTCTACTACTGGTAATAAAGCAAAGAAACAAGTGTATAGTTATGATGAGTAAGGTGCTTCTTCCATGGCCCCTGGGTAAGATGTTCTGGTGTAAGAAGGGGGGGGGGGGGGCTTTATTTATTTAATAATATAGTGAACATGCATTTCTTTGAAAATCTTCTATGCTTCTGGGCATATTCGAGGCAAACAGAGTAAAAGTTTTATATGCAAGGGTGTTTTTACCAGAATTTTGAACACCTGGATTATTTAGTCAAGTGTTCTGGTCCTGGCCAGGGCTCTATGAACTTGTATTCTGCTGAGCAAAGTTTTGATAATTAATCACTGTAAATAATGTATCTGAAAGGTTAATAGAATAAGAGAATTATGCAAGAATATTTATTGTATAATACAAAAAGTACTTTGATTCATAGTTTTAATGATCAGGTAGACTTGGAAATAATAGATGAATAAAAGTGAGGCAAAAATAACTTATCTTTTTTAATGTTCTTCAAAGGCCAAGAGAGACCAATGTGAGAAGTAGTAATTTGGGATTAAAAATAGACTTTTTGTTAATAGTCTGCATGGTAATAATGATAAATGGGGAACAGATAGATTCTATACCAATTATTTTGTTGATGCGTATCATACTATTTTTCTTGCTTTTGGGCAACAAAGCTTCATTTATCAGTTTATGGATCCTCTAAATTGTTTTGTTGTACTCATGTGACCGTTAAGGCCCTTGGGCCACTTGTTTGGTATTAACTATTCAAATGAGTGTTGTTAGCTGTGAAATTTTGTGCTTTTATTTTATGTATTGAATCTCAATTTAAACACCCAGATGATCAAGATGCAGAGACTTACCCTTATGGAATCACTAGTCTGACAGACAAGAGAGACTTCCTACAGAAGGGAGATGCTGTCAAGTTCCAGATCGCCGCTCACAGGAGAACAGGGTTACTGAGGGCGGTCAACATTGCTGCCATCAGGAAGTTCACCAGGGCCAGAGTAGACTCGGTCAAGGGACAGGTATTATTCATAGGCTAATTTTAGAATCCGAATAAATAATGTTTTAATAATTGTCATTCTGCACAATAACCTGGTACCAAAAGTTCTGTGGTTTTACAGCATTTATCAGTGTTTTTTCGCTCTTCTTGCAATGAACACTGGGGAAGTTTGTTGAGTATCAGTAAATTTCATAAATGTCTTATATGCCCTAGTAATGCTTGATGCTTTGAAGCAAAGTGTTCACATTACATTTTTTTGAAGCTATATGTACTACACTATTCAGCTTCGTATTTATTAGATTAGACATACTTTTTTTTTCTCTGTTCCCCATAGTTTGGATTCATCAACTATGAGGCAGAGGAAGGGAAGAAGCTGTTTTTCCACATGACAGAGGTCCACGATGGTGTAGAGGTCCAAGCTGGGGACGAAGTGGAGTTTATAATTGTGCAGAATCAACGCAATGGGAAATATTCAGCCTGCAGTCTGCGAAAAATAACGTAAGTTGATGTGTCACCAGTTACATGTATACTGTAAACCTGGAATTAGCCTAACAATTGTGTAATTTATGCTTAATATTTGATAAAAAATCATTTGGGTAAGTATCCCCATGTCACAATGCCTTTGTACATATTTTATGCAGTAGTTAAATGTATTTATTGCTGGTATCCTGAAAATAAGCCTCAAATTTATGGTCTGTGCTACTTCTTTCAGTTTGTGAATTCAGCAAAGCACTATTATCCATGTTTAAATGTATGATGTTCAGTATATTCACTATTTGCCATACTTGTAAGTCATTTTCTATGCATTAGTATAAGTTTTGCTTTACACATTGCAGACACACTCAACGTCCTGAGCGCCTACTGAGTCGAATGAAGAGCATCAAGGAAGACATGTATGGACCTCGGGTCATTGCCGTTCGACAACCCAAAGGCCCAGACGGCACGAACGGTTTTAAGGAGCCCCGCCAGCCCTGGACGCCACCCCAGGCCTAAGGCAATACCAAATGGGTGGAATACATTGGAAATTCTAATGCTTCTATGGAAGGCTTCCTGTTGTTTCTGTTTGCTTTGTGATATATTGTTTATAATGTTCTCCATGTTCTTTGGTTCAATTTCCGTTTCTATGGCCACAGTAAAATCATACATATGGCCAGCATTTGGATTCTAAGGCAAAGGTTCAGATGTGTATAACTAGCTGAAAAGAAAAGTTCATATATTTGGGTGGGGGATCCGTATAATCAAATTTGAAGTTTGTAGATTAATGTGCAGTCAGAAATTTTCAGAATGTAGGTATCAACTTCAATATTTTTTGGAAGTAATATTGACTTGGGGGCATTGTTTCAGATATTGGTTACATTTGGTTTAAACACTGTATTTAGATAAGGACTTCATACTGTAAATGGTCAAGTAAGGGTGATAAAGCCTAGGTAATTTTCGGACATCTTAAATGAGCTTTGATTTCTAATCAGACATCTGTATGATTTTACTGTGGCAATATTTAAGCTGCATTTAAATCTCCAAAAAATATTTTTGGTGTGAATGATTGTGAATTTGAGAGTTGAAATGAGTTGTCATAAAGTGAGGCAGATTTAATGTGCATATAAAAAAAAGCTGTGAGATGTTCTATGCTTCCCCCAAAATAGGTTTTCATTTGTTCTATTATTCATTGCATGAAGACAAAGGTTGCTCCATGCTGATAAGCATGATCAATAGCTGGTACCAAATCCAGACTCCTATCACACAAACATTTTACTTTTTACAAACAGTTGCATGGTACATGTATTTGTAAGTGCCAGAGTTGGTTTTGCAATAGAGAATTCATTGTTAACAGTGCACATTTTTGTTCAAATTGAAAAGTGCAGACCAAACTGTACACAAGGGATAATACTGAACAATTTCATCCATATCCATACAAGATTTATATGATGTTCCTTTCACCAACTTTTCATGAGGTTGGAGTTCAGTTCTAGTCTAATGTTAAATGTATTATACTCTTAAAGGTTGTTCATTCTGATACAAATTTCATCACTTTTCTGCTCGTTCATTCATGCAGATTCATATTTTTATGTGTTTATATGCCAATGAACAATTAACACGTAAGAACAAAGTAATATTTGAGTTGCAGCAAGTCTAGTGAAATAGCTGTATCAAGATGATAAACTTTGATTTGATTTATGAAAAGCTAAAAAGTAAGTTGAAAGACTATGTTTAGATAGTGTTATGCACCAAAACGGGTAAAAAAAATATTTTGCAGTATTTTTTACACCAGCTAAGAATAATCAGCAATAGGCTTTCTCAACAATTGCTCCTCTTAAAACTTAATTGATCTCTCGCATGTTTTACATGGCATTTGGATTGCAATCTTTACACAAAAAGAGGTACCACTTTTGTCAGATCTACCTCGGGGGATTGTTTTTTTTTTTTTAAATCAGATCTAATCTGAATTGCCTTTATCATATCATTTGCCTGTAGTATTGGAAGATTTTATTTTGTTTGAATCTCAACTGCCACTGAAATGAACATTTGCATGTCTTGGTCGTCTAGGAGGTTTTGAGACAAAGTTGGAAATATTCATACATCTGCAAAAGAATCCTTATTTTTTAATTCAATTTCTGAAGATATTTTTGAGATGTCTTAAAGAGTAAATCTGTCAGTTGCTTTGTAGCAAAATAGGTTTTCTCTAAGAATAGATATGGTGTCATTGAAAGTGTCGTTCTCTGTGAAAGTTTACGACCATAGATTGAAATATGACTTTGTCATCAAATAGTAACACAGTCATATCTTTTAAGCAACAACTGTTCAGTAAAATGTTGAAGGCTCTGCCTTCATTTAACATCTTGTGTGGTATATATGAAGATGATGTATTTACAGAAAGTTTTTCCCCACCTCTCTATATTTTTGTTAACAATTTGATGAATTCCTTTGCTGTGAGCTATGATTGACAATCGATCTGTATAAAGTAAGAGGAGATAGTGATCTGGGAAAGGTTTTGTAAGTTGCATAAAGGGGGTATTAAAATAGAAAGATGGAGAATTGATGAAGATTTTGGGGTGTTGTGTTTAGGGGTTATTTATTAATGTGAGAGAAACACAAGAAAAAAAAGAGGAGCATCTTTGTCAAATTTACTGGTGCTTATTGTAAAATTTTTGCGACAAGTTTCATGATGCATGTTACTTGAAGTACATTTTATGTTGAAACTCAATTTTAAAAAAAATATAAAAAGAAACTAAAACTTGTCAAAAAATAAAGAAAAACTATTGAAAGTCATAAAAGTGTTAACTTATATGTTGAATTGTGCAAGTTCTAATGAATTATTCAGGCTTATGAATGCAGCGCAAGTCTATTTGAGTTACTTCCTTCACACAGGACACGGATATTAAAATATTTGTTGCATTTCAAGTCATGCTATTATGGATGTACGTTTCTTCCCAAAAAGGAGATGGGCGTTCAAAATGCCTGTAGTTTCAATTGTATAAAAGTGTGAATTAAGTTATTGAAAGTTCTTTATCATTGAAAGGTATGAAACTATGACAAGCAAAATTTTTCTGAAGAAAATTCTTTCAACAAAAATCATTCTATGATTTAAAAAAAATGGTATACTAGGGTACCAAATCTTAAGTATCAATCTTTCACCCGAGACTAACTAGATAACCACTATGCTATACCGCTCATACCAATTATTGCATTTAATTCAAGTTTGTGATATAGCCCTTTAATAAATGGACTAAGTCTTCTGATATATCTCGGAAAGATACGAATGTTATGTCATAAAAGAGTATTTTAAAGGTATAATGGGTCTTTGCTCAATGTTTTTTTAACCAAAGAATATATTTATTGACATACTTTGAGTATAATCTTTGAAACAAAAAATGGAGCGAAGAACCACTCATATGGAAAAATTGTGTTTTAGAATGAAGAATTGAACGTTTTAACCCTGTTTGGTGTATGTATGCTATTTCATAGACTAATAGTTTCAATCTTCTTGAGATTGTTGCTATTTGTGAAGATTATTACATAAAGTATACATGTACGCTAGTGTTAAATGAAGTATCATAGAAAGTTTTATCATGATGGAGATTTAAATTTCACTAACTTATTTGTTGCACAATAGGCATTTTGCGCGTTTTCTTGGTGCATCTTCTTTTTATTAAGGTAAAAAAAAATAGTGTTATGACGGACTATTTTCAGTAAAAAATTTTGCGGGAAAACACATGCACATGTATAAAGGACATTATCTAATGTGACAGGAATGTACAAGTAATACTCCCATTAAATATTAAAAAAATGTGCATGTATGAATTTTAAAACATAAAATATAACAATCTGAAATCCATAGTAAAAATAATTTAATTTACTAATTAAAAACTTTGATTTACTATAAAAGTAAAAACTTCGATGCTAAAGTAAACTATAGTTGACTATAGCATGCATAGTAAACTGTTATAGTTAACTATAGTTTTTTTTTTTTTTTTTTTGGGGGGGGGGGGGGGAGGGATTTTCAGGACATGTTCAGAATATAAGAAGATTCGAAAAACTAAATCGTAATTTGTTTGGATTCGAATTCCTCCAAACTGTGGTCTCTAAGACTTCCCTCCAGAACAGCAAGGTCATTCTAAGCATGAAACATCTTTATATGTGGATTCAATTATGGTCAAGTCATGACCCATCGCAGATGCAGTGAGGCCATAATATGGGGTTAAAAGTTTTCATTAGAAATCATATCTTTTATAAATTATCTAGAGAACAACAGTGCTAAGGATACATAGGTGAGCGAGCCTCTCGTTTCATGTACAAGTAATTGTTTTTCACTATTATATTAAGAATATGATTTTCTCAATATTTCCGGACTGTATAATTTGGTATGAGTGGTATATATAATTTTTCATTATTTGAAACAAGGTCATTGCTATATTCACCTTATCGAAGTACTAAAACTTCATGCCAAGAAGGAAATTTGTTTTAGATCAATGTCAAAGGGCATACTTATTAAACATAACACAGAATATTTACTTTCCTTTTAAAGGGGAAGATTTTCAGGTATTATGCGAAATAGCCGGAAATTATATACACGCGTTTATTTGTCCTTTTATCCCAAAAAGTTAATTTATATATAAAACCAGTAAAATGAAATAAAGGAAATTGCTGATATTTTATTTTGTTACTAATTCACAGTCCGCAAAATTTGTTGCACAGCGCGTAACATCTGGAAAACGACAATATCGATCCGACCAAAATGAAAGCTATAACTATGTTGAAAAGATGAGTCACACAACTTGAATTTTAAAAATTAAAAGTCCATATACAACTGGTAAAAAATTAAAGCAACCTTTTCTTTTTTTTTTTTTTTTTTTTTTTGATCATGCGACTTTTTTTTCTGAAGCCTTTAGTAAACTAAGTGGACAAATTTCAAAATAATCTACATATGATTTAAATTTCATCATATACAACCATATGCTAATATTCAGCTAAGTGTAGGTGAATTTTTTTTTTCAAATCTGTAAGAGTAAAATTGTAAGGGATATGCAATACGCTTTCAGCTGTTGCCTACTCTAAATATACAAGAATTCAGATCATTATTGATAGGTTTCGTGTAAATCATTATTTTAGTGTATACATGTAGTAAAATCTTCACAGTTTTTGTATTATTCGGTAACCATCTCTCCTTTAAAAAAGACACGTAGAAGATATAAGAAATCAAGTGTATGTTTGTCAATGTCATTCACCATATATTTTTTTAATGCATATTCAAATTAAGTAGAAATTTTATGATTTATTTATTATTTTATCTATTTATTTTTTTTATTTTGATATTGATTATTACAAGCCTGGAAAAAAACTTACTGGGAACAACTTCAACCTAATGATCGTTGTTGGACTGGAACATGTGAAACATACCTCATAAATTGTTGCATTGAAGTTTCCAATTTCCACACTCCTTATCATGTGAAAATGAGTGTTGAAAAGAAACATGTCGTCTGTCATCAATTTTATAGCAATGAATTTTTTAAATGGTAAGATGAAATTTAAAAAAAAATGGTATTATGAATCATGATCCTTGTTTCTGACATATTAAATATTTTAGAAGCACAATATTATTTCCATTTTTCTCCTGTTAGAAAAAGGGAAGATTAAAACAATATATCCCCATTACCTCTACTGAGCTGTGTTCACATGAAAAATCTCTTTAAAAATATAATGTAGGGTTATATTCTATATTTATTAATGTATGTCAAAAAAGTCTGGAAAATTAAAGAGACAAATAAGAGCGCGCATGCTACTCTTAAGTTAATTTTTTATAAGTTATATTTGGTTTCAGAATTCAATACCCACAGTTACTTAAGTTCATCACATTTTATCAAATCTATTTAGTGTGTTATTTTCTCCTTACGATTTTTTGTCGAATATGAATACTCAAATAACTGATATAAGGTAAACAAATAAATAAACAAACACAGAGTGAAAAGTGTAGTTGTGAGTAGTTTGGCAGCTTTGCTTGAATATACACTTACATCTAAGTACGACTGTCGTCATTTTATTTGATTGTAATGAAAACAATTTTGTTCAAAACTGATAGATTTAGCAGGAAATCGAAAATGCAAGCAGTTAAGGTTCTTCTACCCTCTGATAAGAGAGATAAATAGCTAGCGTTCCTCTATAAGATTGTCAAGTTAAAATGCTGTTTCTGTTTATCCTGGAATTGTTTGAATTTTAATTATAAATTAGATACCTATACCTATGCGAAAATCATTTAGTGTTAAGGTATGTCACTCGTCAGCCTTTTAGAAAATTTCAGTCAGAACCTCTTACTTAAAAACTATTTATTACAATTCAATCTTTATAACATATTTAAATTAAACAGTGTAAAATGTTCAACATTCAATTAAAAAACTGCTCAAAAATTCACAAAGAAGCAAGATTTATAAGGGACTATTTCTTGTGGCGGAAGGATATTTAGCAGAAAATTCTGCAAATCTACACATTTATTAAATTTGATATCTTGGAACTTTAGCCTCTCATACTTTTACTCAGAGAATATTTTCCGTTATGATATGCCTGGAATATTAAATATAGGTCTCGATTTATATATTTATAACAAAATTTACACCTTCGCTTAACAAACATTGCCAAGAAATGAAGATATATTAAGGAAGTCGAGATAAAATTTACACAGTTTTTTGCCTGAAATTGCATATTTTGACCAATATTTCAAAATTTACATCACTGACCCCAACGTTTTCTTTCATTATTTTAAACTACTCGATACTTTTGACCGATCAGCACTTAAGTCGTAAAAGGTTTGATACAAGAAAATATTCTATTGCCTATCTAGATTTTTAATACCCCAAATATGAGACTTTTTCAGTGCAAAAAGGTCACACGATAATTGACGCACATTAATTTGCATGATTTGTTCAATGATAAACATTATTCAAACTATTTTACGTAAAATAAGGTTATGTTAATTGCCATGGTTACATCTTATAAAATATAATAACGGTTAAAGCGATTAACCATAGAGTTACAATTTAAGTGCAAAGAGGTCAACTTAATTGTACCGTAGCTCAGTTAGATGCACACTGACCCCCCATTTTCTCTGCGATTTTGAGTCATATTATATGAGTACTTATCCAAAATATACTTCTCAAAAAATCCTTGATATAACAAATTTCACGAGTGACATACCTTAAAGCAAAAATTTATAAGCGTGAACAGAGGTCCAAAGTACCACAAGAAAAGAAAAAGAAATGTATGTTAATTTCGCACAAATCTATTAACAAAAAGAAATAAAAGGAATGGATTCTTTCATTTCGATGTTTATATACAAAGCTTTAAGATGTTTTATAAGTTACACACAGACAAACAAACAAATATTTGGGAGGGGACATCCACGTTTCAACTTTATTGACGGATATTATATACATATTAAGTTTGCTGAACTCTGCATTTTTAACCATTATTAACACCTCATGCCTTATAAACAAAGTCGTCTGCTGCATTCTAGTATTTCTCATACCACACATACAAACTCCCTGTGCATTAGGGCAAGTCATTATAGATATTTATAGCAATGCAGCTTTTGCCATATAAGGCAATTTTTTTCTGCTTGACTTTGTGTCTGTTTGCCGTATTTAAACAACTGTAACGGCTGACTTCCTCAGTGTTAAAAAGTCACACCTTATAACACGCCAGTAGTGTAAGCTCTTTTAGCATCTGAAAAATGGGTGACGAAGATGTTGCAGCTTTAGTTATTGATAATGGATCTGGAATGTGCAAGGCTGGATTCGCTGGGGACGATGCGCCCAGAGCTGTGTTTCCCTCCATTGTGGGACGCCCCAGACATCAGGTAAAGATAAAAGATAAATTTGTCATGAATGAGAATTTTTCCTCAATCACACGAAATACGTTTTGGGTCTAATATCTATTTATTATACTGCCCAGAAAATCTTTACTTACATTATTCACTTGCAAATTTGGAACATTTGCCTCACTTTTTAAATTGACTATAAAATCATGCAAATATACATAAAATAGTAGGAAGATACATGACTAGGGCGTGGCAAAATGGATTGTAAAAACAGCATGAAAATATTCAAACAATATCAAATTATATGCAATGGAAACAGAATAAGAATTAAATACCACAATTTTATGTGTATGAATGCATATTTAAGTGTACCATCTATAACACCTAATAAATGTTAATATATAAATCAAATGCAGTGATGTACAAGCATTACAAAGCAATTTGAATTATTCACAAGTTAAGTACTAGATGTGAGAAACTATGGAACTTTTTTTTAATTATACTACTTTTTTTTTTTTAAAAATGCTTATGATTAATTAAGCTATTAGTTCAATAAGAAATACATTCCTGTAAAATAGCAAGCACCAGTGTCTCTCAGATGTATTATAAAAGGAAACTTGAATCAATTAAAAATATAGCTGCAAAAATTCTCCACTAGAGGACTGATTTCACCTGAAAATAAAGTTTAATAAATAAAACATGGACTTTATAATGGATTTTTTACAAGATTTTTTTTAAATAAAAAAAAAAAAAAAATTACTCTTCAGGGTGTAATGGTTGGCATGGGGCAGAAGGACAGCTATGTTGGAGATGAGGCCCAGAGCAAGAGAGGTATTCTTACCCTCAAATACCCCATTGAACACGGTATTGTTACCAACTGGGATGACATGGAGAAGATCTGGCATCACACCTTCTACAATGAACTCCGTGTGGCCCCAGAAGAACACCCTGTTCTCCTAACCGAGGCCCCACTCAACCCTAAGGCAAACAGAGAAAAGATGACACAGATAATGTTCGAAACCTTCAACACTCCAGCAATGTACGTAGCTATCCAAGCAGTACTCTCCTTGTATGCCTCTGGTCGTACAACTGGAATTGTACTGGACTCTGGAGATGGTGTCACTCACACAGTACCCATTTATGAAGGTTACGCCCTCCCACATGCCATCTTGAGATTGGACCTTGCTGGACGTGATCTTACTGATTACCTTATGAAAATTCTCACAGAACGTGGTTACTCTTTTACAACCACAGCTGAGAGAGAAATTGTTAGAGACATTAAAGAGAAATTGTGCTATGTTGCGCTGGACTTTGAACAGGAAATGCAAACAGCTGCATCATCGTCGTCATTGGAAAAGAGTTACGAACTTCCCGACGGCCAGGTCATCACTATTGGCAACGAGCGATTCAGATGCCCAGAAGCTATGTTTCAACCCTCTTTCCTTGGAATGGAGTCTGCTGGTATTCATGAAACAACATACAACGGCATCATGAAATGTGATGTCGATATCCGTAAGGACTTATACGCAAATACAGTATTGTCTGGCGGTTCAACCATGTACCCAGGTATTGCTGACCGTATGCAAAAAGAAATCACATCTTTAGCTCCCCCGACAATGAAGATAAAGATCATTGCTCCACCTGAAAGGAAGTACTCCGTCTGGATCGGCGGTTCTATCCTTGCCTCCCTCTCCACTTTCCAACAGATGTGGATCAGCAAGCAAGAATATGACGAATCCGGTCCTTCTATTGTGCATAGAAAGTGCTTCTAAGTCATAGTGAACGTAAAGATAATCTAGCTTTTTTTTTCAGAATTGCTTTTTATATTTTCCTATGCAAGAACATGTAATTTCATTTATATACACATATATTTCTTATACTGTGTTCTTTCTATGTACTTGTGCAGCTTGTTACTCATAAAGTTACTCATATATATAAAAAAAAACCATTAAATCAAAATATACTATGATTGTTTTTATTCCGTTACTATAGAAGAGATATGTCAAAAAAGCACATTTATTTTAAGTTCTGTAACAATTAAAAACATGATTTAAGAATACCACGGTCATACGTAGCCTGAAGATACTCAGAGGTCATACACATATGCCAATCCAACATATTAAGAAAAGTAAAGCAAAGTAAAGCCATTTGAGCCTTTTTTTTTCTTACGAAAAATAAACAAATATTCACATCAGCATCCTTTTTACTTAAAATTATACATTTTTTGAAATGCATCTCGCCGTCCTCGGCAACAAAATATCCCTGATATATGTTCCTTTCTTATCAGGAAATTTAATGCAGTTCAAACAAAGTTTGATTATCGTATTATTATAGTTTATCAAACCATTATTATAAATTAGGGATTACTATTGTAATAACAGTTTTGCTGGTACTCGGACAGAGCAAAGGTAATCGATTGTAACATCTGAAATAATATTAAAAAAAAATATTGAGTATGTTTTTAATTCAACACAGTTTCATTTTAAGATTTTTTACCCAAATTAATCTTCAAAAAACCTGAATGTGGATAAGTTGGTTGGTGTTTTAATATACATGTTGTTACAGTGTATTTAGTTGTTAAATAAATTTAGAGATGACTAAGTCTCACGGATTGAGATGTAAAAGGTTCAATAGGCCAAATTGCAAGAAATTGCAATATTTTTAAAATATGATGTTTATTACCGAGAATTTTTTTTTTTCTATAAGAAAATTGAATATTTTATACGGCATTTGAAAAATTAAAATCAAAGCTTTATTAATCAAAGTTACTTATTATAATCTTGAAGCATTTTGAAAAATAATAAAATTATTTGCAAATTTGATGACTTTTACGATTTGTTCTGCGTGAAGTTGCAGTACTGTAATGAAATATGTCTTTTTCGAAATTTTATACCTTTTCTCATAGAAATGTTTTACATATGATTTCAATTTTGTTTTCTTTTTCTTTTTTTCCCTTTTCTTAAACAAGATTAGTAAGAAAAAGGTCGTTATCAGAGAGAAACTTACGGGATCTCAAAAATGATATTCTTTTATATGTAGTTTTCATTTTTTTTCTGTTAGAATTATGTATAAAAAGTACATAAAGTAAGAGATCTAAAACATGATGCACTTATAAGTAACTTATAAGTAACTAAAAGTTATCCTTAAATTTTAAAATAATAATTTAAAAAACACTAAAATTTTCAAAAGAGAAAAGGTTTGATTTTCAATTTCTTCACAAAAATTACTGGAAGAAAGTCGAAGCAGTTTATTATAAATTTCATCTCAGCTCCTTTTCCCTTTTTTTTATATTTCGTGCGCGTTGTTGACACACATTTCATAACCTTTGTGTTGCATAATTTTTTTGGATATGTCACGTGATCTTAAACAACCATAAAATTTGAACTTAAAATTGTGCGATAGAAATAAAATAGAAAAGTCAATTTTGTGAAGTATGGTACACATCAATTCGATTCATGAATTCTGAAATAAAAGCCTTGTATTTTCAAATTAAGAATACAGTTCTTTCAGCATTCGTAAGCATTTCAAAAACATTATGAAGTAAAAATACGTAAACGAGGATTGTCCCTTAGTTAGGGTATACTTAGGTAATATCTTAAACAAAACCAACGGATCTCTATAAAATTTCTAGGTGGATAAAGTGTCTTTTTGGTTGATTAATTTCGAAGTTTCTTTATGATAACTCGAAAAGAACTCGAGTAATTAGAATTGCAGCGTTATCATTCCCTATAGATACACTTAACCTCACAGTTTTGGATTTGGCACACACATAAAAAAATCAATTGCATTTGTGTTAGAAAGTTAGAAAGAACACAAGGGGATTTTTAAAAAAAAATGTTCTTGACAGGCTATTTAACAACTTGAATAGCACAAGGGGTGGGGTGGCTATCTCTCACTTCTTTCGATCATAATCTTTGAGTGTTAATTTAGAATGAGAATGCTCGATGAAAGCCCCCCCCCCCCCCCTCCACACACACACACACACACACACCCTCACACACACACACTGTCGCAGATAGTCAAATGTTCCAAATGTTTTTCTTGTCAGATAATGTTGGAACCAACCCCCAACCCCTTCTCACAAAATAGATTGCATGTGCCGGTTTTCCTTTTCTTTGTCAAAGTTTTGGTTCAACTAGGGTATAAGGAAAAGTAAATCCCTTAATCCGATTAACATCATTCAAATTTAAAAGAAAAGAAATAGTTCCCTTTAAGAACCAAAATAGAAAGATAGTGTTTTGCCTTATTACATTAAATAATTTTAAGGTTTAGTTTCAATTTTTGCCCACCTCCTTTCAAAAACGATGTTTAGTGCCTTGATACAAATATTCCTTATTGATAGCATATATAAAATTCATAAATATAATACCGGATTCTTAAAAATTAACTTATACATTGTCATAATTTTTTTTTTTTTTTTTTTTTTTTTATTATTGCCCCAGCGATATATAAGATTCGATGGATGGCGCCAAGGTTGGGGAGCCCTGGACTCACCAAACTTACAAGCATAAAATATAGCCAATAGTAATGATGACAGTCACATGGCACTATAGTAAATAAACTACTACATATAATGTACTACTAATATAAACACTGTATATTTTAATATTCAACCAGGACAATTTTTCATTGGAAAAAAAAATTAATATGTAAACAAATCCTTTCACACCCTATGCATCCAATATGTGTATGTATTTACAGAAAAGTTATCAAAATAATGAATAACATAATGGTTTTAAACAAGTACAATTTTTAACCAACATTAGAAAACAGTGAAGAAAAAAGACCCCATCTCTTTTCAAATAAAGCCAATTCATTGTTCTTTTTATACATAAATTTTTCAATTTTATAATAATGATTGATTTCCTTTTTTGCTCCTTCTATGGTTGGTAGTGACTTACAAATTCTTTTCTTATAAATATGCCTTTTTACTATACATATTAAAAGATTCAAAATAATATGATATTTACCTTCTCTACCAAATATAACATCAATTATGTTTATTTCAGTATTGTGCTCTGTTTTATAATTGATCCATTCTACTAGTTTACTCCATTATATATCAACATATAAACATTCCCAAAACAAGTGGGTTATAGACTCAGGATGCGTACCACAAAAAGTACACAGATCGGAATGCACGATTCCTATTTTCTTTAAATAAACATTAGTACTCATAATTCTATGTACAATTCGATAATGAAACCATCTAAGTTGTACATCTTCAGTGATACTAAAAATCAGTTTATTATGGGTTTTCCACCACAACTGGTTTACATTCAAATCTAGTACATTTTCCCATTTACTTTCATATTTGGGTTTATCCCATTTAGATGAAATTAAAATGTCATAAAAATCTCTTGATCCCTTTTGACTCTTAAAAATTATTCGGAAGAAATTGGGATAATAAGGAGAATTATAAAAAGCATCCTTTTCCGTATAAATTAAATTAAATTTTCTGACACTTTGTAAGACACCTTGAAATAATGTAAAAGGGGTTGACAAATTATACACATCACAAAATTCTTCAAAACTCATAGGCTGGCCATCAGGAAGAAACAAATCTTTTATGTATTTTACACCTTTATCAGCCCAATGTTTATAGTATATAAAATTATTTGATATCTTAATATTGTCATTATACCAAAGAGGATCAAACATAGACAAACTGTCAGTCTCTATAATCATTCTTAATTCATATAGGGCATTAAAAACATCTTTCCAAAAATGGTTTGAAATTCTATTGGAAATAACCCTTGTAAAACTATTACCAAAACAGGGAAGAAATTCCACTTCTGGAATTATACTATAAAACAGAGTCTTCCATGCAGACACATTAATATTGCTAAAAAGTCTGCGAATCCATGTAATTTTTAAACCCTTACAAAAATCTTTAACACTTATCATTCTTAAGCCACCGTTTTCATGACTCTGTATAATACAATTCTTTGCTACCTTAGGTGGTTTATTGCTCCAAATAAAATTGAAAAACATTTTTTCAAGATCTTGCATAAATTTAAGGGGAGGACTCGGCAAAGAAATTAACAGGTGGGTTATTTTTGGAAAAATGATTGACTTAACTACTGTAATTCTGCCGGCAGTTGTCAACAATCTTTTTGACCAAGAGCCAATTATTTTTTTCATTTCAACAAGTTTAGATTGGAAATTGAGTTTGTTCATAGTATTAGGGTTCAAATCTACAGAATAGGTTATACCTAATACAGTAAATGGTTCCTGAGACCAATGAAGATTAAAATCTAAACAGATATCAACATTTTCTTGAGACAAGGAGCCTATTTTTATACAACGAGTTTTTTCATAGTTTGGTTTAAGACCAGAATATTTAGAAAACTGATCGACAAGTGATAGAGCACATTTAAGAGAGGATTTTGTACCATCTAAAAGGATGACTGTATCATCTGCATACTGCAATAGTCTATATTCATTTCTTTTAATAAAAATTCCTTTGATTCCAGGATTGTTTCTGATCATAATACCCATGATTTCAGCACAGAGTACAAATAAATAGGGCGAAATAGGGTCCCCCTGTCTACATCCTCTTCCGATATCAAAAAATTCTGAAAATAGGCCATGCTGAATTACACACAATTTTGCGTTTGAAAACAACAATCTAACCCAGCTTATGAACTTTTCGCCAAAACCAAAGTAATGTAGAACTTTAAAAATAAATCTCCATGAAACAGAGTCAAATGCCTTTTCAAAATCTATAAGAAGAACAAATCCTGGGATCTTTTCCTCATTACAATAATGAATAACATCGTAAAGTAGTCTAGAATTTTCACCAATGTATCTATTTTTAAGAAATCCCTTTTGATTTTCATGAATAAGTGTGGAGAGAACATTTTTAATTCTGTCGCTAAAACACTGGACAGCAACTTATAAGTAACATTGAGAAGAGAGATAGGTCTCCAATTTTTCAAGTATTCTCTTGGTTTATTTCCCTTTGGAATTACAGAAATTATGCCCTGAGTTTGAGTCATTGATAGACATCCTTTATTATAACTACAGGTAAATGAATTTATCAAAAATTTGCATAAATCAGACCAAAAAAATTTAAAAAACTCTGTAGTGAATCCGTCTGTTCCAGGAGTTTTGTTATTTTTCATATTTTTTAAAGAGTTTAAAATTTCAGACTGGGAGATATCATTATCTAAAAGAGATTTTGTATCATTGCTAAGTTTGGGAACTTCGCAATCCACTAGAACATTGTTTAGGTTAACATCAATTAGTGAATCATCTAGATTTCTATATAAAGATTGATAGAAGTATTTAAGGTTATCTAAAATTTCTTTCTGATTAACAATTGAATTACCTCTACTGTCAATGATTTTTGTTATATTTTTATTTACATAGTTTCTTTTTTCCAGAGCACAAAAATATTTTGTTGGTTTTTCACCGTCCTCGATCCATTTACTATGTGTTCGTATCAATAGTCCTTCAAGCTCATATTTTCTGATATTTTCAAGTTCAACCTGAAGATCATTCAGTAAATTTCCATAAATTTGAAGATGGTGCATGTTAAACATCTCATGCATAAATTTAATTTGTTTTTGAAGAAGTTCTTTCTTTTTTTTTCTCTCACAGGATTTTTTACTGGAAAAATAAATTGCAAACTCTCTAATTTTCATTAAGATAATTTCTAATAATAAATTGTCATCAATTGCTGGTGATCTATATTCACCTACCAAGTATTCTGCCTCAGTATCAGAAATAATTTGTTTGACCTTCTTAACAAAGTCAAGATCTTTCAACAGAGAATTATTAAAGCGCCAAAAACCTCTTCCTTTTGAAAAATTGTC